TAATTCTTAATATTCAACTGACAAAATGTAGAGATGTCAGTTTAAAGCCTTTACTCACCAAAGCTTAGCTGTAGAGAAAAACTAAAATAAGTGTGTGTGTGTGTGTGTGTGTGTGTGTGTGTGTGTGTTGTGTGCGCAGAAATCCAAAAAGGATTATACCAGTTACAATTAAGAGTTTATTGCCTCAAAGGATTCCACAAGAACATGTCTTGGGCAAGATAGTTTTAGTAATTGCTCATCTCTGAGGCCAGGTATCCAGGAAACCCAGCCCTCAGGAGTGTCAGAGGGAGGGACTGTCAAGCTCTGAAGGGATCGTCTGAGTCACCCAAATGGCAGAGACCTGCTGACGCCATGGAGGACACTTACTCTGTTAAACGGAAGCTGATGGGTACTCAGAATTTACTCCATCAACGTACATTTCATATACTTGTAATACTCTCAGTTGTCTTGTTTGCTAGCTTACAACAGAATCAAAACACATTTTTTTAAAAAGGAGAAGAAAAGGAGAGCACAAAAGAAGAGATAAGAAAAAGTATTTTAAAAACTCACTGAGAACTCAGAAAGCACAGCAGTCTCTCTGAGTGTGGAATGGACAGCCCGTCCACATAAACAATCTCAAAGTAAAACGCATTAATTGGTATTCTAAAAGGTCCCAAGTCGTTTATGCAAAACAGTTCAATATGCTAGGTTTCTTAAAAGGCAGAGAATCGTGTACTATATTTTGGAACAATTTTCATTAAGAGGAAGTACTCAATGTGACTTGTTCCTGCTTAATCCCCCATGCCCAGAGCAGTGACGGCACTCAGCACATCCTGAGGGGAGAAGGTGTGGACGAGCTGAATGAGAGGTTAAAGACATTTACAAATCAGCAGGTTGACAAGGGTAAATTCATGGTTTCTCCAAATTCTACCAACCTATAGTTTAAATTAAATATTAAAACACACACACACACGAAAAAAAAAACCCACATACCTATTAGGTATGTTTTGGGGCAATAACTTGTAGGAATACATGAATGAAAAGTCACTATGAAAACAAGGTCATGCGAAACCAACGTAGGAAGAGGCGAGGAAACAGTAAATCCATGTCTTTACCTGGGTTGGTACCAAGGACTCCGGAGCGCCCACTGTCCCCAGCCAAGGAGTGGAGATGCGTTGGCATGGGCACCCACCCCACAGAGGCCCTGAAGGTGGGTGCTCACAGGCCTGACAGTCTCTGTGTCCTTAAGGGTCCCCTGAAAACTTCATCGTCTTCTTCGAAAGGCTACTTCCTACAACGTGTGTCAAAAATTAATTCCACCCACATTGCCACGTCTTCCTGAATGATAAACCTCTCAGGCTCAGGGCCCTAGCCTTACGCTGCCAACGTCCAAGCCGGGTCCTGCCGGCAGTGCGGCCCCCGCCGGACTGACAGCGCGGCCTCCGCGTTCAGAGTGCTCACTCCCAGCCCGCACGGGGAAAACAAAGAGGGCTTCCCATTTTGGTAATTAATATGAGTAAACGTGAGGGGAGCTAACAAAAGCAATTACTTGGAATTTTAGTACTATTATCTCAACTTTTCATGTTTTGCCTATTTCAATGGAAAGCAGGGACTGAAATGAATGCCTCTGGACTGGAGATTTGGTCATTTCATTCAAAAGTCGCCATTCACCTGGGTAGCAGAGTTGACAGCTAATTTATTAATACTCTCCTCCAGATAAAATAAATTGCTCCAACTTCAGTTCAGGAAGAATAAAAGACTTCCTAGTACTTTAACTCATTCTTGATGTTAGGAAAATCATTTCATGTTTTCTGAGTGAACATCAGCAGGGAAGGAGGCAGCAAGTGTTGGTTTCTGGTGGTGTCTTCCCGGTCTCCTGGCTCTGCTTCTCTTTGCACTTCTTTCTGGAGTTATAACTGAGTACTTCCGCTACCTTAATGAAGGGGGGGGTAACAGCTGCATTTCCTTTCTAACAATAGAAACAGTACCAGAAAACTGGACAATAGATTGACAACTCCTCTAAAAATATATACAAAGTTTAACTTGGAAGTAAAATAAGGATTTGTTTTATGTTATTTAATGTCCCAGTCAATATAAAAAGTCACTAAATAGCCTCTGACTACATTATCCTTGGACTGTGACCATATCCAATCCATCATCAAACTTTGACCCTGGAAACATTACTCGCCTCCACTGCCTCCTCTCCACACTCCCCTCTCCCCACCCCAACACAAACCACTGACCTCTACTCCAGCCAGGAGCCCCCGGAACTAAAGATCTGCCTACATATCTACTTGAGACCCTTCCTCACTGTCGCCAGAAAACAACCAGGCTCAAGCTATGGCTTACTACCCGCTTAAACCCCAAAGCTCCCACCTTCCCCACCGCCTGCCAGGCCCTGAGCAGCAGGTCACTATGCATATCCCCAAGCTCCTCAGCTCTCTGACTGTAGTTCCTTCAATGCACCTGGTTCCTTCTGGGACGCGGCTCTTCCTGCCTCCAGAGCCCGGTTAGCTTACACCAACCCTGACCTTAAGATCCAGCTCAATCACTGCTGCTTCGCCGAAGCCCTCCTTGGCCAAGCAGCTCAGATCAATGTCTCCTCACACACGTTTTCACTGCACCATAGGTTTCTGCTCCATGACACTGGTACCCTTTACAACTTTATGTGACAGTCTGGTTAACAAGTAATTATGTTAAATATATTTAATCATTGTTCCTGCACTGGAAGGAGCATGATGGCAGAGGCCAACCACTGTCCCTTTCCCCTCCCATCCCAGCACCTAGCGCATTAGATAAAAACTAGTTAAATAAAAGCATCTGAAGTTCATGGACGCATGTATTGCCATCATCCATTTGAGATCTGCCTTCTTTACTGGACTATGAGGTCAGAGACCCTGCATCCCTCTCGCATCCTCAGTATCTAGCCTAGAGCTTGACACGCGGTAGGGAGTCGATCAATGATTGTTTAATGAATGCCTGAGAATTAAACAGATGTTTTTAAAACATAAAAGCAGTAGCTCTGCCCAGCTATTGGAATGATTAAGGATTCCAATATTTGTATTGCTTGGAAGAGTCAATTAACCAACCTTCCCTCAAGGTTGTAACATGAGAAGGGATTTGCTGGAATGAATAAGGCCTGGTAGCCTGAGGGCATTACACATCCACCCACTTAAAACGGCTTCCTTTAGACAGGCAACATGCCCGACGCACACGTGACAAATGGAAATCTGTCCACACAAATTGTGATTTAAACAGGAAACCGGAACGCACTCCTGTCTGACTGCACAGTCCACTCGCTCCAATGGGCCTGGCCCAACCCTGTGAACAAAACCAGTAAATACTTAACATTCCAAATCATGTTCGCCAACCTCCACCTCGCCAAGTGCAACATCCCTTTAATGAGTTTTGTTAAGTCCAATAAGAGTATACAAATAATGCAGCCGTCTATATGTCCTTGGCCCAGGGCAGCCAGACGCACAGACTCCAGACCACTGAGACTTCTGTCTCGATACGTCTTGTACAGCGGGCTTTTCTCCTTCTGCAAAGCCACGGACGTAACATTTCAACAATAACCACACATCCCCCTGTGGTACGGACACGCACAAAACGCATTAGGAGAAGTGCCAGGAACTGAAATGCTCGCCGCAGTGGCTCTGTGCAGCCGAGGGCCTCGCAGGGGCCTCGGAGTGCAGGGCGGCCGGTTCTGCTCGCAGAGGGCGCTCAGTCAATAAGCCTCCGCAGCCAGAGACTAAATCACTCCAAGGGCAGGCCTTTCTGAGTTACGCGACCGTTTCGTTCGCAGAGTCTTGCCGAAAACGCCATGCCATAAACCAATTTAATTCAAGGTAACCCGAGCCGCTGGATGAAAAGGAGCCAAAGGAACCAACGGAAGGAAGAAAATGCAAACCTTTCAAGTTACACAGGATCTTCAATCACACAGAGAAGTGAGCACAAGTGAACTGACCCAGAAGGTTCCCAGGACCTCTAAGGTATCATTCCAAATGCAGTCCTCATTTCCCATCCTTAAAATAAGCCTGTGTCACTCAGTTGGAGAGATGCTTTTTAAAGAGGTATAGCCAAGGAAAGTCTTTGCGGGCCAGAATTACACGGTGCAAACACTGGCTGGTCCCGTGTCCTGAGGACATTCTGGAATGACTTTGAGTGGTTCCTTTGCAATCTGTGGGCAGGAGGACAAGGGAATGCTACCCTCAGAAAATACCCACGTATTCTAGCAGAATTACATTTTAGACTGACAATGTGTAAAGTAGCCCCGTGAATTTATTAGCCTGCCAGCACTTCAAATGAGTAACTTTAATGCTTAGATCTTTTAAGTAAATGACTGGCAAAGAGTCAGAAACCTTCCTGCAGCTTCCTGTCCTGACACCCACTATCGCAGAGCGGCGACCTTCACCTGGCGACCCCGGCATGTACATGAGTTGCCACATTTTTAAATGCATGAGTTTCTCTGGACTCCCCTCACCCCCCGCCACCGCCCAAGACAAAATTCTGGTTTACTGTTGGACAACATTGTTTCACGCATCCATCACACAGGCCGAAAAACAAACAGCAACTTCATAGACAATAAAGAGGAAAAAAGAAGTCTTTTTTATCATTGGCCTTTTCAACCATCTCATACAAACCAGCTCCTTACAGTGCAGCTAAGTACCTACACAAAAAGCTATGGAATGCTCTGAGCAGGATTTTGTGTTGTTGTCTTGCTTATTGTACAAGGTTGTTGTTGTTTTTTCTCCTTTGCGATTACTGTATAATGACCATGGTCGCACCACTGGAGTCAGAGGTGGGACAGAGAACTCTCCCAGGCTGGTTTGGTCACCCCCAGGTCATGACAAACGGCTGACCCTAACAATATGTGAAAAACATAAAATGTAAATAAAGTCGCAAACAAGTTTTCCCTGTAAAAGTACTTTTAAGAAAGAAAATAAAAAGCAGGGACGCCTGTCACCAGCCACCAGCGGGGGCGCTGTCCCTGGGGAGCGGGCGGGACTGGACTCCAAGGTGACCTCGTTTAGATCAGAGAAGGAAGAGGTCTCCTTGACCTTCTCCTTTGTCATCACCCCCCTGGATCTTCTGCTTGATGTCAGCACCCTCATCCTCATCATCTTCAGCTGCCCCTATACTGTGGCTGCCTCAGCCTCCTCCTCTTCATCTCCATCTCCTTCCTCCCCACCACCTCCCTCCTCCACCTCCTCCGCTCCATCCTCTTCCTTCCCATCACCTCCCTCCTCAACTTCATCCTCTTCCTCCCCATCACCTCCCACCTCCTCCTCTTCATCTCCTTCCTCTTCCTCTCCATCACCTCCCTCCTCCTCCTCTTCATCTCCATCTTTTTCCTCCCCATCACCTCTCACATCCTCCTCCTCTTCATCTCCCTCCTCTTCCTCCCCATCACCTTCCACCTCCTCCTTTTCATCTCCATCCTATTCCTCCCCATCACCTCCCACCTCCTCATCTCCATCCTCTTCCTCCCATCACCTCCCACCTCCTCCTCCTCATCTCCATCCTCTTCCTCCTCATAACCTCCCACCTCCTCCTCTCCATCCTCTTCCTCCCCATCACCTTCCTCCTCTTCCTCTTCACCTCCATCCTCTTCCTCCCCACCACCTCCCTCCTCCTCCTCATCATCACCTTCCTCCTCATTATCATCATCTTCCTGCTCCTCCTTCTCCTTCCCTCTCCCTCTACCTCACTGTCAGCCTCCTGCTCCCCATTTTCCTCATTTCCTTTCCTGTGTCCACAGCCGCCTCAGGCGGGGAAGGTCCTGGCACACGGGTGACCCTCTGCGCGGATTATTTTTATTTTTGGTGGTTTGTTGTTTGGACGGGTTATTTCTGAAGGAGAGCTGGGGGCCGCCAGAGCTGCGGGAGTGGGCGGCGGGGCAGCTGCTGTGCACAGTCTCCTGGGGAAGCCGTGGGCGAGCCTGCGGTTATCACTCTCTACAAGCACAATCCGGCCTGACAAGATGCAGGCTGCGGCGGCACCGCTCCTGGGTCCCCGCCGCCTGCTAATGCCGGGACGCCGCTCCGCTGTGGGCACCGATGAGCATCCAGGACCCTCCGGGCGAGGCACCGGCCCAGGCTCTGACCGCCCAAGGCATGTTTCCTGCTCCAACGGCGGCCCATCCTCGGGGACCCGGGTGCCTCCGGCCAGTGTCTTAGCCTCCGAGCCTGGTCTCCTCCTGGATGAGAGGGGTGAGAGCGGGGCCCCCCTAACAGAACCTTATGAACCAGGTGAGGTAGCCTGGCTAGCACTTACCATAGGGCTGCGCCCAGAAAGAGGCGCAGGCACAGCCCTGATCGCCAGTTTTCACCCCTTCTGCTCTCCACCCCAGCTCCTGCCCGGCCCCCATTAAAAGGTAATTCTCTGAGAATTACCATAGGTGTTCCCTCTCCCTGCCTGGGGCCACCAGACTAATTAGAATACGGTAAAGCCTCAGAGTTAGCTCTCACCGTGGGCTGGGAAGCACACACCGTAGGTCTGGAACAGGGGCTGGCAAACTATGGCCATGGGGCAAACCCCGCTGGAGAACCAAGAATAGTTTGTATATTTTAAGTGGTTGACAACAATCAAAAGGAGAACAACATTTCAGGACACATGACAATTAAGCAAAACTCTAATGTTCAGCGTTGGGAATACAGCTGTCGGGCCCGCGGCCCGGGCTCCTGTGTCCCCCAGGCTGCTCCCTCACAGACGCTGAGCAGTAGTCGGGGCGGAACCACAGGCCTCGAGGGCTCCGTGCTCACTACTGGACGCATCACAGAAAACGTGTGCCCACCCCTGGTCTGCATAATGTTTTCTGGTTTTAAAAAAGCTTAGTACACGATAATAACACAGAAGAAACCTACAAAACCCTCTAAAAAAACCTCACCTGGTACTACTTCAGGATCTCTACAAAGACACTGTAACAGGGTTTAGGCTCATGATACCATGGTAACAGGGGCCTGAACCTAACAAAGGCTCAACCCCTCCACCTACTGACAGAGATGAGAGGCCCCGGATGGGGGTCTCTGGTACCCCACGCGCTGCGGGTTCCATTCCGGGGCAGGGCGCAGACCCAGTGGCTGCTCCCATCGCTGGTGGGGTGAGTGATGGATGTCTCTCTCACATTGATGTTTCTCTTTCTCCCCCCCCTCTCTCTCTCTCCCTCCTTTCCTCCCTCTCTCTTCCTCTCTCTCTCTTTCTCTCTCTCCCTCTCCCCCCTTTCCTCTCTCTCTCTCTCTCTCTCTCTCCTTTCCTCACTCTAAATCAATAAACATATGCCTGGTGAGGATTAAAAAAATAAAATTAAATAAATAATTTATAGATTTCTCACATAAAGGAATGCCACTTTATATGCGACACCAAGGGGCAAGATGGCCCCGCGTCGTTCTGAGTCCTGTATAAATTTTAATTTGGGTAAAGTAGAGCTTTTCCCAAAAGTGCTCCCAGAAACATGGTGGACCTTCCTGGGCTCGGCGGCTGCTCTGTTCTCGGGTGATACTGTAAATGCACTTCTATTCAACCCCACCCAGGACTGCGTTTTGTTTTGGGGGGGAGACCCACTGGCATTCTCTTCTTGACTCCACTCTGCATCTCAAATTCCTCTGCCGAGTACTTTGACTCTTCTGGACTTAAATCAGCTGAGGTGATAACAAGGGATGTAATTGGTTAGCTCTGTCCCCTGAATCCAGGTCTTCAGCTTCATTCTCCACAGACCATTTAACTTCTCCGTCCCAGGATTTGGCAATGTGTGCCTCAGTTACCAAAACCAACTCGGAGGAGGGCCCCGGGGGGCAGGGCAGGACGGGTGCACCCAGTCCACCCTCCCTGCATCCGCCCCACAGGATGGGAGCAGGGCCTCTATGACAGACAACCCGTGGGCACCTTCTGGCTAGAGGCACAACCCCTCCTGCTTCTACCGCAGAGCCTGGGGTGCGGTGGTCGTGTACTTGACTCCTGCTGAAAACGCCCCATTCAATGGTTAGGCAGGAAGCTGAAGAACCGCTACACAAGGTACCAAGTCTGACTTGAATGTTGCCCTCCCCACTTTATCCCTATCAGCTTCAATGCTCTGAACGGCAACGAAGACATGAAAGGACAAGGGAATCTACAATAAGTCATTCTTCCTGTGAGCACAATGTCTGCTGGAGGAATCTGCTGAGCAGCTCCAACAATTAGATCTGCTCCTGTACAACCACAAGGCCTGGTGGGCAATGCGTTCTAGGAGAACTCCCAGCCTTGGCAGCAATGCTTCTTCCTGCTTGCAAACATTCCTGTCCAAAAGGAAGGTAACGGTAACAAATGCTAAACCTGCCCACGGGCAGACTGGGCGCCTCTGGCAGATCACGGAACACATAATTCTGAGCTTGTTCGGTCCTTTCATAGTCTGAGGAGAAAAGGCTTTCCTTCTTTTCCTTTTCTCCTTTGTGGGGCTGGACCCCACCAGACAAGACGCAAGGCTGAGGCCAAATTCTCTCTGGACTGATGAAGCAAACACCATTTTAAATTACACTGCCAAGCTGCTCTACAACTTGGTGCTTATCTGATTTATTCTAAATATTTCTACAGAAACATGTCAACACAGCAAGGTGTTCTTTACTGGGAATGCTATCCTAGTTCCATCCAAAGGCTGGTGGATTACCAGCAACTCCACGGAAGAGAAGCCGGAGAGAGAAACGGGAATATACCAAAGCAAGTCACACCCTTGCGATTTCCTTTCATCAGAAAATATTTAGCTCCCAAATCCTAACCAAACCAAAATGAGAATTTCAAAGTCAGACTACAGAGGAACCAAGGGAAAGGGCAGACTTCCTGCTTTCCTTTCGGAGCCATTTTCCTACCACAGATTTTCTTTATTACCATAAAAATGGCATCTGTAACCGGAAGTTACCAGGGTGACATTACACCCAGTTCATTATCAGGGCGGACAAAAGGGGGAGTTTGAGGAGGTTTTTCTACTCTTGATGAAAGGACATATGTAATACAGAAAGGAAAACAAAAATAGGAGAATCCCCGCTAGCAATACACAACTGGAAGGCCCCATGTGAAGGAAAACAGAACTATGGGCTATCGTGAGATGCCCCATTGCTGAGCGAATAGATTGTAACACACTAGTTGTCATACTAGCAAGTCGGCGGGATTTGCGAGCACATTTCTGTTTTGATATCTGGCCCATAACAAAATTACTATTGATCTGCTGTGTGCTTCCAGCAAAACAGCATAACCTAGTCTGAGAACAAAGAATTGTCCACGAAAAAGCAGGCCATAATCACCCTGTAGTTGTTCCTTTGGAACAAAAATCTCCCCGTGGCCAGTGTTCTGCTCGGTCTATTTGGGGGATGAGCTTCCTACTCCCACACAGAGGTGCCCAGCCCTTTTTAAAACGTGCCTTTCCCCGGCTCAGGATTAATCCCATCTCTCAGTGGCCCGGTGGCAGCAGCCATGTAATGCTGACATCCACCTGGAGCATGCATTTAGGCTTGCTGCTGATTCTGGAAACTGACAGGACAGGCATTATTTTTCAACTATGTTCTACAGGCAGCGGAATGAAACGATGAAACAAATCAGACAGTCAGAACTGCTCAGGGGGTCCGGGAAGGGAACAAAAATGAAGAAGAAAGGAGAAAGAAAGATGAGGAGGAGGAGGAGGAGGAGGAGAACGATGAGGAAGAGTAGGAAAGAAAAACAAACCATCCGTCTTATGTCTAAAAAAAAATGTATAGGTAAGTGCCACTCACAACTGCCACAGCTTTCATTAAAATGGGATTTTTAATGAGCTATATTTTCCCATGATGCCAATAAACTATTAGAGAACTTTAATATAACATGGTTTGTTCTAAAGCACCAAACTCCCTTAGCCTAATTTAGCTGGGTATTGACTATCTGTTGTCCAGTCTGGTAAACACCTCCTACTCGCAGGCCTTGGGCCATAGGCACCCCTAAATTCATCACTGCCTGCTTTTCAGAACAGAGCTGCCCAACCGAGGGGCTTCCTGACCGTTCCTTCTGCTGCACCAGCCAGAGGAAGACATACAGCACAGATCCAGCGCACCTGTGCTCCGGACTGCATTGATTTGTCGCATGTGTGGTTACATCCTGTCAAGCAGCATTACAGGTGAAGCATGATCATCAGAGCACCCACTCCAAGAGGGGCGCAGTGAGGCATCAGTGGGTCCTCTGCCTGCCACACAAAGCCTTTACCCAAACCCAAAAGATTTTCAAGCACACGATCCGTGAGCCCCAGCGCTACTTCCAGCCAGGGACTTTGCAAAATGCTTTTGTAATAAAAGGCTAACCAGGTGTTCATTACCACCAAAGAGAAAACTGGCCCAAGAGCTAAGGAATGAGGCAGTGGGAAAGATTATGGACATAAGGAAGGTCATGTTCCCAAAGGTCTGGTGCCATCGTACTTAAAAAGAGCCTATGTGGGCCTGTGTGGCCTGTCTCAAGCACCGAATGTATTATAACATACTAGTTTTCATATTAGCAAGTCTGTGGGATTTGAGAGCACACTTCTGTTTTGATATGAGGAGGTGGTA